CTTCAGACCCTGGACAGTGCCGAGGTGAGCTATCTTAAACTGGGTTGCTGTTAAGGAATTTAAATTAAGTTACCATAATGGGTTTAGGGTTTAGGGTTTAGTGTTTAGTGTTTAGGGTTTAGGGTTACCATAATGGGTATATATAGTAAATAATAGAGTTTCCCCAATATAGTAACTTAATTTAAGTTCCTTAACAGCAACCCAGTAAAGGGGCTTACAATGGGTTTAAGGTTTAGGGCTTAGGGCTCAGGGGATCATTTAGGGGACCATTATAGGGCTTATTAAGGGGGATGCTAGAAGACATATAGGGGATTAATTGGGGGACCATTCTAGGGCTTATTGAGGGGGATGCTAGGAGTTTAGACCCTAAACTATAGCTCAGGTGATGATTGGCATGAGCGGATTGAGCAGCTCGTTGACGTATTGCGGAGAACCCCCTGCCAGTGGCGGACCCAGAAGTTTCTCCTTTTTTGGGGTTATGCAGGGAGAAAGGGAAAGAACATGGAAACTACTCCTGTTTTTTTTCTTACATTGGGGATATATAGGGAGAATGGAAAAGGAATGGAAACTACTGTTTGTTTTTTTTCTTATATTGCGGGCTATATGGGATAGTGAAAGGAAACGGGAATGGAAACTACTACTTGGGGTTTAGGGTTTTTCTCATATTGGGCTTGCATAGGGATAAGGGCCAGAAATCGGTAACTGATATTTAGGGTTTAGGGTTTATGTAGGGGTAGTATAGGGATAATGGGAAAGAAAATGGAACCTGCTACATTATAGTATGGTATATTTCGGTTAGAGTAGGGAAGAAGGGAGTATGTTTTACAGGGCTTATGTAGGGATAATACTCGCGTATTCCCTACTAACCACCAGCAAGTTTTTTGGGGCTTCTTGGAATCAGACGTCCCTCTTCGAGGCTCCGAAGAAGGTGGCTTCTTATGCTTCTGTAGGTCTGTCACGTCAGACACCGCGAACAGTGGGAATTCCTGTAGCATGGACTCAGTTTTGCTAGTCGCCTTGGCATACCGTTCCCGGACTATCCGTTTTCAAATACCTGAAACCCTAAACCCTAAACCCTCCTTGGCGGTAAATTACCCCGTGTCGCTTTGGCAGGCATCAAAAGTCCGAGGGGTTGTTTAAAAAAAACCCTCAGAGGGGTGCCCGGAAAGGCGACAAAGGTCAGAGCTAAGTGGCCAAGGACCTGCTGAACATGGACAGAGTTTGCAATGTGGATATGGGGGTCTCCCAAAACAGGGTTGGGTCCCCATAATAAGGATTATAGTATTTTGGGGTCTACATCGGGGTCCCCCTGTTTAGGGAAAGCTACCGTGTGTGCCGCCACAATGAAAATTGCCGTTACTTGTGTGGGGTTACTTCGGAGCGTATTCTCGTTGCAAGTTGTTGGCCTTCTTCGTGGCACGTGCGCACAAAAGTGGCCAATGGAAGTGCTCTTGAGGCCCAAAAGTGGCAAGTGTATACCGCTTCTCCTTCCTGATGATTCTGTCTTGCTTGATACATGGGGGTCCTTTTGAAGGGTTCCTATTTGAGGATTATATAATGTGGGGTTTATGTAGCGTAGCGGGATCCCTTTTCATGGAAACCTCCATATGAGAAATTCCTTAAATAGGTGAACCCCAATATAGACCCCACCAAATTATAATCCTTTGAAAGGGTACCCCCCCAAAAAGGCACTCTTAATTTCTGCGAACCCAAAACGCTATATATCTCTATAGCCCATATATATCCCTATAATCCCCTGTAAAGGTACCTCAAATTTTGGGAACCCCCCAAAATTCTGGCAGACTCAGGCGGACTTTGATTTTTGTCAACAGCTACATCCTCAGAGCCAGATCATGCTTGCGGAAAGGCTTTAGGGTTTACGGAGTCCAGATGCAACAAAAACAGGATTTAGTTAGAGTCCGTACAAGGACGTAAAGGGGATACACATCTGTGTGCACGGAGATTTTGGCCTTCGAGATTAGGATTTCAGTGCTCCCCCAACACTTACAGTAGGTCCCCTTGCACAAGGCCACGCAGGTTGATGATGGTACTTGTGGGACCCTTACTCGAAACTACTGATTGTAGAATTCTGTGGGTTCACGTCTAACCCCTCCTTGGATTGATACATGCGCTAAGGTCCGGCTTTTACAATCAAATGTTTTTCAGTTTAAGGCCGATAGGCCAATATGATTCGTAAAGCCATTGTAGTGATCTGGGACCTTGTATGCCTACACGTGCTTATCGCCTGAATGAGAGCATCCAGTGCACGCACACACACACACACGTTGTCATGAGTTCGGAAATTGTAGCGGTGTCCGATGCAACTTTCTTTTCAAAAAAGTACGCCCATGCCAAGTTGAGGTCATGGTTTGAAGTTAGCATGCATGCGCGAACCTTGGCTGAAGTGTCTTCACCCAGGAGGGAGAAGGGCAGCACGTAACACTACCGGAAGATACTCGAGATCGGCGGTAGCTAGGGAGCAAGGACAAGAGCAACACCAGCAGCAATAAGGTTGCAATGGCATGCAGAACGAAAACAGTAGAAGCTGGTAGAATATTCAAGTACCCAGGTTGATGAGGCTTGTAAAAAGCCTTGCAATGGCACATGGAACCTGTATAACCCCCTACATAGCCCCATGATAACCCTATA